TTTGGTAGTTTAGTAGTAGTGCTAGTTGTTTTTGTTTCTCTATTTCTTTTGTTTTTATGACTTCTTAACTTTTTTCTTTGTCCTGAGGAAGGGACAGATCATCCCGAAAATTTGACAATTATTATTGTTCATGTCGTTGGTCATTTTTAGTGCTTTATATAAATTTCCATCCGTGACCTTGTATCTACTTAGTAGATCTGACACTAAGGATATACAGTGTTGTTGGTTTTTAGTGCTTTATATATATATATATATATATATACAAGAAAGAATTATATATATATATATATATATATATATATATATATATATATATATATATATATATATATATATATATATATATATATATATATATATTATATATATATATATATATATATAAGTAACTCTCATTTGCTTCACTTATTACAATTCTGTACTCTACCTCCTAGATACCCAGGAACAGAGAAAAGGCACATTTACTTATTTTGAATTTAATCATTTACATTTTTATGTTTGCATTTAGTCTTTTGCTTAATACTCTGGGGCAGAGGAGAAGATTTTCAAAGTATTAAATGCATTTCTGCTGTTTACTCAATAGAGCCCTGTCCAAATACCAGAACCCCTGTCTCAGGGGCCATGAAACATTATTTTATTTTCAGTATGTATTAAATAACCCAACCCCCTCCGGGGAAGCACTGATCAAGAGGCCATGAAGTTCACAATTTTTGAAGAGACACTCCTCCTTATTATAAGTATGCATTTAGTTTGTTTCCTTAATACCCAGAAGAAGAGGAGAGATTTTTCAAAGAATTAATGCATTTTCACTTTATAACCATTACAGCCCCTCCCTAACACCAGAATCCCTGATCCGGGGCCATGAAATTTTTAATTTTGGAAGAAGCATCTGTCCCCATCATAACTATACATTTAGTTTTTCTTTGATACCCAGGAGCAACGGAGAACATTTTCAAAGAATTAGCGCATTTTCACTATATAACCGTTAGTGCCCCACCCTAACTCCCCAAACCCTGACCAAGCAGCCATGAAATTCACAATTTTGGAAGAAGCACTCTTCCTCACCATAATTATGTACTTAGTTCATTAGCTTAATATCCAGATGCAGAGGAGAAGATTTTCAAAGAATTAATGTATTTTCACTATATAACCATTAGAGCCCCTTCCTATCTCCAGAGCACCTGACTAAGGAGCCATGAAATTCACAATTTTGGAAGAGGCATCCTTCCATATCATAACAATGCATTTAGTTATTTTCATTAATACCCTAGAGCAGAGGAGAAGATTTTTTGAAGAATTAATGCATTTTTACTAAAATAACCATTACCCTGACCCAGGGACCATGAAATTCAGAAATTTGCAAGAAGTAAACTTCCTCATCATAACTTTGAATTTAATTTGTTTCCTTAATACCCAGGAGCAGAGGAGAGGATTTTAAAAAGAAATAATGCATTTTTACTATATGTTCAACAGAGTCCCGCCCTAGCACCAGAACTCCTGACCCAGGGGCCATGAATTACACAACTTTGGTAGAGGACTCAATGCTTATTACAATCATGCCAGCAGTTTGACTGTTTGATGTCCAGGAGAAAAAAAAAAGATTTTTAAAAATTGCATTATTTTTTATGGTTTTAGCCCTACCCCTCAGGTCCCTCGGGAACAGGGGCCATGAATTTAACAATTTTTGTTCCCCTTCAACCATAGATGCTATATGCCAAAATTAGTTGAAAGTGGTTCCAGAGCAGAAGCTGAGAATGTTCAAATGTTAACACATGACGGACAACGGACGAAAAGAGACAACAATAGGTTACCTCAGTAAACTCAGGTGACCTAAAAATAGCAAAATAAGGAGAACATGACTGATATTATATTTATTATTCTTCCCCATAATCATTTCTACTGATTTTCTTGTTTTCTGTTGTTTTTTTTTTTTTCAGAGTCTTAAATTCAATTATGTAGCTCATGGCTGTCTGTTTGTTTGTCTGCGAAACAGTGTAACCTTGTCCATAATTTTTGAATAAACCATGGCTTTCATACCTCAAATGTGTATTCCTTGTGATGACAATTCTTTGGGTACCAACATATATGACCACTTGACATTCACATTCACCTTTGAGTTTGAACCACTTTTGCAAAATTTTAGCAAACTTTAACCTTGATCATAACGTTCGAACAGTTGGAACTAGGGCTTTCATACTTGACATCTGTATTTCTTTTGGTAAGACCCTTCCTTAGTAGCTGCAATAATGTAGCCCTCTCCAATTTTTTAAGGATCTAAGTAATGGTGCAAGTGCGGGAGTGAATCACTCCCGCACAGATTTCGGCTCAAATTATCAGTATATGGCTATTTTATTATCATTTCTTACCTGAACTCATAAAATGATGTTATGCAAGACATGAATTTATCCAAATATATACAGAACAATCCATATACTGGTTATTTTTCGTGTATGTCAATATCACAAGTTGAATTTATCCGCCATGTTTACTGACCTTGATCGATTTTATTTTGGGACAGCTAATGAGAATTTGAGGTATAGGGAGCGGATCTATTTAAGATTTCCCTTATTGTAAGCATAAATATCGCTGTATAAAAGAAAAATATCACATGGAATGCTTTTATTTTATCGATATTTAGTGATACCATACAACGTAATCATTAACCAACACCGAAATTTACTTAATCAGGTTATTCTAAATTTCAAGCGCAAGTTCTTAGTACAACATGCAAGAACTGTCAAGGCTGCTGAGGATAACAACTGGTAAACACGCAGATTTAATTTACACGGTTTTGCGTATAAAGGGCTATGTTGTTGATAATGAATGAATATCTTTTTGGAAATTATTTGAATGCAAAAACAAAGTCATTTTGCCTGCGGTCGTCCGTGTCTAAAAAAATATATATATTTGCACCATTACGGAGATGCTGTGTAATTGTAGCCCTCATATGAATAAATTGGATTTAAAAAAAAAAATGGAGAGGGCTACATTATTGCAGCTGCTTCCATGGGTATAAATATTTTTGACCTCATAGTTTGACGTATTTTTTTTTTAAATTAACCTTTGGTCATAACTTTGGACAGTTGGTGCTAGGGCTATCATAAATCACATGCGTATTCTTTGTGACAAGACCAATTTATGACCCTTTGGGGTTGACCTTGGAGTGTGACGTACATTTCAAAAAAACTTTAGTCATTGGTCATAACTTTTGAACGTTTTGTGCTAGGGATTTGATGTTCTTGTGACGAGGCTTCACTTGAATACCAACAATTGTGACCTATTGTCCTTGGCCTTGAAGTTTGACCTCCTTTTGAAAATTAAACCTTGGGCATAATATTTGATTGGTTTGTGCTAGGGCAACAAGTTCTTCCCTTTTGCGCCATTAATTTTGACTAATTTGACCTTGAGTTTAATTTGATTTTCAAAAAAAAAAAAAATAAATAAATAAATAAATAAATAAAAAAATTAAAAAAAATAAAAAAAATAAATTTCTCCATAAATTGGTGCTAGGGCATTTTGTATTTCACAGTAATATTTCCTGAGAAAAGACTTGTACGAGGGGTGATCAAAAATTCGCGAACTATCTCTATATTTACAAAACCACAATTCAGATCAGTATGAAATTTGGCACACATATAGTCATACACATGCTCTTTAAATAGCAGATGTTACATAATGTTTTGCTTCGTGTTTGTGACGTCACATTGTGAAAATGACGTCAATATGTAGGTGACTTGTGAAAAAAATGGTTGACTCAGTCGTACTCGAGCAACGAACGGCTGTAAAGTTTAACATATATCTCGGAAATTCCTTTGCAGTAGAATATGATAATTTGTACACGGTTTATGAAGACAAACGACTTACAAGGAGTTCAATTATTAATTGAATTGATTGTTTTAGTGATGGCAGCGAGATGGTTTAAAATAATGGGGTTTTTTCTGTTGCCCAGCGAAAGCAAGCCGGTAAAAAGATGTATCCTTAGTTTAGCAATTTGTTTGAAAAGATCGCCGAGTTACAATTAGAAAAATAGTTGATTATCTGAACAATAAATTGATTATCAAATCCCTAAAATATCGTTTATTTTAAACTTTAAAAATGTCAGATATGACAAAAAGAAGGCGCCCATACTTTTTCCACATTGGATAAACGATGCCCCCGAGACAGAGGGCTCGGTATGTGATGGTCACCATGCTAACTTTTGGAAGGGATATCCTTATCAAGCCATCCTATTGCCGAGATTTCTGAAAGAAATGTTCTTGTTTTAAAAAATAACTTGCATGGTAAGAAATATAAGACTAGGAAAAATCTCTTATCTTCTGTGAACAGACCGCTACGAAGCGTGTCACGTGACCGCCTGAATCACGTGATTCGCGCATGGGCAGAACAATGGCAGATGTGCATTATAATCGGAGAGGACTACTTTAAAAAACAATGAACACTGAACCCTCATTTTCTTTCTTTTAAGGAAGTTATTCAATTAGTTCGCGAACATTTTGATCACCCCTCGTATTTGAGTAACAACATTTATTTTTTTATCTCTTGATCTTGAATTTGGAGTTTGACTTGCATTTGAGAAACTTTAACCTTCGGCATAAGCTGCCATTTCACAAACACATCTTGTTTCTAGTAAGTTAAGAGAACTTAGATACACAGAGCCTAAAACAAACAATATATTTTTATTTTTTGATTCTGGAAATCTTAAATGTTAATTTTGAGCATCCCTCTCAAGCGTACTGGAAAGTAGTATATGATTCAAGAGACCATCCAAGTATGACCTCGAAGGAAGTTACAAATAATGATGAATAATTTACACTATATTATATCCTCAGTCGAAGTAAGACAATGACTGTTTGAATTAAGGGGTAGTCCAAGGCAAAATAAAATAAAACTGAGGAAAAAACATTCATTGATTACGCCTTGTTTGAAGGCCAAGGATATGAATATATTTTTGAATTATATATATATTTTTTTTATTTGTGTGTTGTGGAGGGAGTGCTTACCTGTAAAAGTGTTGAATATATTAGGAGATACGATATCAATTCACATTTTTCTTTCATCTTTGAGTCCTCTTTTGATTCTTTTCCTATAAAAATAACACCTTATTTTTTTGAAATCAAAAATGTAATCAGAAGGCTTTCCATAAGTTGTTATCAGATTACAAGCATCGAATGTAAAACGCAAAGAAAGATGAATTATATATGCGATGTATAGAATGCCAATAAAAAAACATTACAGACCCAGTTCATGTTTTGAACACATACAAGATATAGATTTGTTCTCTAAAAGAAAGGCCTGTATCTTTAATTGCGGTAAATCTTGAAGCAAAATTTAGAACATCTTCATTGCCTCACCACATGTACAGGTTACATGCATATTTGATAAGTCTTAACTCTTACTGTATTAAGATTTCGTAGGATTTTCTTCTTTACGATTTCTATGTAAGAATTTGAACCTGTAATATGAAACCATCCAGCTCTGTGTGCAATGAACAAATCTGAATGTTTATTATTAGAAGATATATATCGTAAACTGTCATAAGTATTTGATTGAAATCTACCATGTTTTCGTTTTAAGGAATTTCTGATTCCCTAGTTCTACTTTACGAAACTGAGAATTTTCTAACCTCTCCCGAAGAACTTTGATTTTTAAAATATTCAGGAAAAATTTCATATGCATGTGAACTGTTTTGACAGATGTGTTATTTCCTTGCTGTACTTCTAAACGCCATCGCTCTATTATCAATCCAAATTAGACGAAGAATTCCTATGAATATGGGGAAAATACACCTTTTTTCCCCACATAAAAGATATTGCATTAAGATAGATTGAGTCAATTTTGGTAGAATTATCAGTAAAATATGATCACTAAAACAAACTGACCTTGAAAAAAGATAAAAACTCGTTATATATATGAATTCCTTGAAACTTTCAGTTTTGGCGAATTTATATAACAATTGCAGGTACAGTAAAATATGAAAGTTTACTTCGATGATAATTCAAATGAGTTCAATGTCATTAAAGTAAAGAAGCAAATTACACAGCACAAAAAGATTTAAAAATGCATCACAATAACATGTTTGTTACAGTGTACTATAGTATCTAAGAAATTTCAAACGAGTTTTGAACACATCATAAAACTGCCCATCTGTTAAGATATTAATTGCATGGGAAGTATAAGTACCAATTAACATTTTATTTCAACATTTAACTTTCGTTCTTTTGTAATCTGTTTATAAACTCCTGGTATTTAAAAGTTTTTGAAATGGAAACAGTCACGTAGCTGTGTGTAATTACATGAAGTTTATTAGGAAGGGCTTACAAACAACACTCCCAACACTAAACAAAAAGGCAGTAAATAAACTTATTTAAATTAGAACATTTTGATGATATGTTTTAAAAACGGTACTTTAAATGTTTTAGAAAATTTTGATTTATATAATATTTGTCTTACCTTCATGAACTTAAGGTTTTTTTTAATATACTTGAAGTACTACAAACACAAATTCAACTGAATTTTAAATTTTTCAAGTTAAGAGTTACTTAAAACACTTCCTTTGTGAAAGGGATTTTCCGCTTATTTCACTCATGCAATTATTATCAGCACAAAACACTTTTATAACTGACTTTATCACGCATGTCAAAATTTTACGTTGTTTATGCGCTTGGGTTCTGTTAAGTTAAAAATAAAATTCAAGGGGACGAAAATAAGCTCAAAATACATATGGAGTGAATATATATCTTAAAACTTATATCATTGTTGTGATGTCATTCCTTTATTCTTGCAGTCTAAAACTTGACCTTTGGCAGTCCGATAGTAGTGAACAGACTCTCCCAGTACTGATATCCTTCAAAATTGAAATGTTACGGAAGAAAAGAAATAAAAAGTGTGAATGTTTAGCAAACAGCAAATTAGTTAAATTTTATATAATTAAACATTGATGACTTTGAAACAGAATAATTCTCATACAGAATTGGAAAATAAAAATTTTAACTTCCAGTTAAACCGAATATACTCTAACAGGAAGGAAGAAAATGTGACGGACCAGATGAGGCAACAAAAAAGGTTTTAAGGGTCCTCCACACACACCCAAATCATGTTCTCATATTACTGAGCATTACCATTAACAAGCAAATCAACCATTAAAAACTGGCAAGGAATTGAAATATAATTTTTTTTAAATTTAATTTCATCAGTTTTAAGACTTTTTCCCACCTTTTTTTATAAGTAGCACAACATTTTTTCCCTTGCTAATATCATTAAGGAGGGATTCTTCTCATATTTCTTGTATTTAAAAATTGATGAAATTTTCATAGAATCAAGAAGACATAATCACTAAGTGATGGTATCATTAAGATTAAATTTGACCGTATTATTTTAGATCCAAGGTCAGGTCAATGTCATATCTTTTCCTTCATTTTAACAATAAAGAAAACACTGTTTCCAAACATGCGATGTCTACTTCTACTTCAAAAGTTTTTTTTTTTTTCTTTTTTGCGTAAAAAAATACTAGCATATAGGTTCTTTCAGACGATACTACCAAATTGACATGCATAATTGAACTAAAATAGATACTGGCTAATCCAAATTTCCTAAATTTTTCTTAAATTTTTAGGATATTTTAGTCATTTTATAAGCTTCGTATATTTAAATTTTTCATATTTTTACATATGATAAAGCAGTCATATAAAGATACAAATTGATACAAAACAAAAAGTTTCTCCATTTACTAAGGGAGAAAAACACTTTTTACAGATTTTTTGCTCAAATCTTTACTTAGATTGAAAGCTTTTTAAAGCTAATAAAATTGTCGTTTGTTTGTAAAATCAAATTTATTTGATGTATTTTAAAACCTCAGTCCATTATTATTAATTTTGCTTACATTTGAATTTTTTGGAAGTCTTTGATTGCTTGAAAATTCTTATTAAATTCATTGTTATGTAGTAATTTTGAGAAGCAGAAAAGGAGATTTTTTCATACGCCGTCATTCCGCCAAAAATATAGTCCCTCCTAGATTTCAAACTCAGTTTACCATTTCTATTTAAAGTTGTACAACAATGATGAGGAAAGAAAAATATGATTTTTTAAATTACTTACATGTAAATATATATGACACTTCGAATATTTCATCTAGTCAGAAACCAGATAAGAATCCCTCCTTAAGGTCAGAAAAGAACCAAAAATCTTATTTTATTAGTCATCATATTTTTTAAAGAAATTAATGAAAGCGATAAAAAAATAAATATAACTCATTTTCTTTAACATACATGGAGAAAAAAAAAAAGGAAGACTCCCGATAGCATAGAAGAAACATATATTGAATTAAATTACAAAAAAAAAAAATGAATTAAAATCAGACTTTGTGACTTAGAAAAAAAATTCAAAATCTTTGAAACAAAGTTCATTTTTAGAGTTATCTTTCCTGTTACCCAGGACTCAAAAACTTTGGTAAGTTTCCGCACTGTTACAACACGGAATGTAATACATGTAACAACGAAAAATGTAATAAACCCGGAATTTTGCTTTTTGTGTTATTACATTTTGCGTCGATATCAACGTAGAATATAATAACGCAACCCCCCCCCCCCCCAAAAAAAAAAAAAAAAAAAAAAAAAATTAGGATTATTACATTTTCCGGTATTACATTTTGTGTCGAGATCAACACAAAATGTAATAACGCAAAAAGTGATAATAACACTATGTTTGGATTATTACATTTTGCGTTGTTACATTTTGCGTCGAGAATAAGCAAAATGCAATAAGGTAAGATGTATTAACACACTTTTTGATCAGTCAGATGAGAATAATTTTCAACAGAGTTATGTATGAAGAAAATAAACGGAGAGAAAAGAAAACAAAAGAAAAATAAACATATGCAAATTCTCACATTAGATCTGATTTCATCATAATTATATTGATTTCATCGGCCATTTAAAATAAGTTGATATTCAAATCATAGTTGTTGCAAATTAGAAACGTGCGTGCCCACGTGTGTGTGTGTGTGTGTGTGTGTGTGAGAGAGAGGGGGGGGGCTATTCCGTTGATCAGTGTATCAGTCACGTAGGCATATTTCATGAAGCGCGCTAGCGCTTCATGAAAAATATGCCTACGTGCAAGTCTGTGTGATTTACACACCAATAATTCACACTAAACTTAAAAACATTCCTTATATTTACATTTTACAAATTTAAAAGCACCAGTAATATACTCAATATTTAAATTTCTTACTGTCCTATATCGTTACATTTTTATTTACATCTCTGTAGCCTCATTGTGACGTCACATTAGCACGAGTTTCACCGGGTATATTTCTACGCGTGAGTATACACAAAAATGACTTTCAAATCAATTTCACAGTTGGCTTAGTAGAAAAACACAGCAAATGTAAATATAAAAAATTGAACGCATCCGATGGAACGTAAATTACTGATATAAATTACTGGGTTTTTTTTCTTTTATCTTTAAATTTCAGATATATAATTAAATTTTATGCAATATGAATATTTGTTAATCAGTAATCTATTAGACGTATCATTATCTTGTGTTAGTAGATCCGGTCCACGTCACTTTCAACAGTTTTAAGTGTATAGTGCATAAAAAATTCACTTTTCTAATCGCATTTGACAATAATCATTTAAGTGATACATTATGAATGTGACAGTAATTGGATGAAAAGTGAAAGCCACAATGGTATGCATTCAATCTTGTTAAAACTATTAAGTTTTGACGGACTAGGTCACTTACGATCACATATGTGTCAAAAGTATTTTATGACAGCGTCTTTTTTTTTTTTTTACCACATTATAAGAGGTATACTGTATCAATTGCAAATGTGTATTTAATATATGAGCGTTGTTACTATTGTAAGTAAACATACACGATTAAATCAATTTTTGAATAACATACCAAACCAACTTCACAGACATTTAAAAAACTTGATAAAATTATATTTATCGTGATGTACTTGGACCACCTTTAAAAAACTTTAACACTGGTCTTTACTTTTGAACAGTTGGTGTTAGTGCTTTCATATTTCACATGTGTATTTTTTGTGACAAAACCCTTCCTTGGCACCATTAATTTTTA